TCATAAAGTTTAGGAGTATGGAATAATTTGTATAGAATATTTATCTTTTAGAAAGTAAATAGGCCACAGCTGTCAATAAAAGTAATTCCTGCCTACTTTTCTGTGTTGTTTTATGTTCATATATAACAAATCTAGACATCATAAAGCTACTTGTTCATATATAACAAATCTAGACATCATAAAGCTACTTGTTTTATAATTAGCAGTTTGGCTATTCCTTGATATTGCTTGTCTATATAAAAAAGAGACTAAATTGTCTCTTCTCCTACCCCCTTCGAGGTATCTCATTCATTAATGAGATACAAGTGTACAAGACTGTTCAAACATGAGGAAATTTCCACTGGAGATAAATCTAACAGGGTTTAGGTAGAAGGCACTTACTTGAGCAAATGGCTGAAGTTCAGCCACTCAGCCCTGCTGCTTTCAGACACAATTAGCTTTATTTTCAGAGACTGGCACTTGGATGTAACCAAGTCCACCACCGGAGTAAGATCATTTATTATAATAACACACCTGGCCTTCGAAGCCAGCAATCAATAGCAAATGTCTGGTGCTGTCGGTTGTGTTCTCCCTGGGATGATAACACCTGAAAACACAATAAAATTGGAAATGTATTAGGTATTTTTCCCTTTCAGTCCTGATCACTTCACAGCTTTTCCTGATGATTACCAGCATCATTCAATCCAGAAACGAGAAGGTAGTAAAACAAGTCTCACACATCTGAACTTGAATAGAGATGTGCAGACTTGGAGTACAAAATAGCTTCTGTTTCTGTGAGGTCCTTTACTATAGACACAGTGAAAGTATAATGCATAACTTTGAGGCAGAAAACACTGGAAGCTTTGAGTCTGTCACAGTCAAACTGATTTAACACAAGCCACAGAAAATGAAAGAAAAATGATGAAGGTAGTTACATCAGCTGTTGTAGAGACTACCCCAGTCACCCCTTTGATTGTCAAATGCTCGAGGAAGGAAGCCAGATAAGAAATAGAACTGTTAAATGAATTGTTAACATAGAAGGTAATAATCTACAGAGCGCTAGGAATTATACAATTCACCTGCTTGAGTACAAGCCATGCTCAGCTGCCTCATATCACTCTGGGATGCAAGGTAGAATCACTAAAACTTGGTCTCTTTGCAGACTGCATGGCCCAGAGAGCACATTGACCACTTTTTGGGACGTGAAACACAGCTCTTCAAAGCTCTATTTAGTTTCATCTCCTTTTCCATTTCTGCTCCTAAAGAAATAAATTCTCAACTATCCTCTGGTTTCAGTAGTGCAAGTTCAGATCCATTTAGATTAATGTGATGGACACAGCATTTTGTGCATTTGTTTTCTATTTTCGACTTCAGACAATAATGGGTTTTGTAGGTGGAAAGCAAAGGAATATCCATTTTAGAGCTTAAGGGTGTGAAGGAGGCAAGATCCACCTGCAGAACCCTCCTGGCACATCCTCACCTGGGACTTGTGTTTATTAGCCAGTTGATAACAATTTTCCTGAAAGGTCATCAGCAGTTTTACTATCCAGCAGATCTGCTGTTTTCCCAAGCTCCTGCTACTAGCAGATATGTTGGATATGTTTACGGGTAGTGCATAGTGGGTTTACAGCAGAACAAGGAAAATCTGAGAAAAATAACCCTGAGCTTTTTTTTTGCCTTTTTTTTTTTTCTTTTCTTTTTTTTTTTTTTCTGATTCACTGGTGTTTTTGTGCTCAATGCAGCCTTGGTCATAGAGTTCAGCTACTACTCATATCTTCTGAATGAAGTGCTGTAGCAGCATGGTGTGAAGTGCAAGGGCTACAGAGAGGTAACAAGAAATGTGAGATGTGACCTAGCAGGGATGAGCTAAACCTCTGCTGTGCCCATAACCTTGGAATGGCTTGGCTGTTATGGAAATATCTCACAGTCTGGACTGACACCTCAGCCCAGGAAATCCTTGACTGCATTTAATCCTGAAACTCTATGCAACCCGGTAGTGGCTAGACCTGGGGTCACCAACAATGGTATATGTGTGGCTTTCAGTAACAGCACTGCAGATAAGGACCAGTCCATTTTCCCTCTTCTATCACTATTTTCAAAACCCTTTTCTGCCATGTACATTTAAAGTTATAGAGAATATATTGCTTTAGAAATATTTCAAAGCAGCAGAACAGCAATGTGTATCTCCCACTCTTATTCAGAAGGTTGTCCTCTTAAGACTGATAGGAAACAGGATGCTGGAACACACAAAAGTTCAGGATGAGCATGTTCTGGTGAGGAGCTCAGCAGCAAAGAGCCCCACTCTGTGTTTCTCGGTTTCTTCCTCTGAATGTTCCCAGAGATCATCTTTGATAGTTATTGAACAAACCCCAACTTCTCTGTACAGAGAAATAACAACATCACTTGGCAGTTTCATTCCAAACTGTGTTCCTTTTCTGTGGCAAGCATGCCAATTTAAAAGCTTTAGGCTCTTAGGATTTAGCTGACAGGTAGGACATCACTCCCAGTGCCCAACAAAAAGAGTAAATTCTGTTTTAGAAAAACAAGGGATATCAGTTGGTTGACTCAGAAATTCCTCAAGTCAGTAGTGCAGGACAAACATACACCACTGAAACTGAGCACAACCTTGTGAACAACTGAGGGGTTTTGTGTGGTTGCTTGAAACCCTGGGCAATGTGACAGAGCAAAGGCTCCTGCCCACACATCAAACAGAAATGTTTGATTCGCCAGTTTGTTTCTTCCTTTTTTCCTGCTCAGGTTCAGGTATTGTATCATTGTAAAACTGAAAGAACATGTTGGGAAGTGTGTCTGACCCAAAGTGCAGACTGAGCAGGCTGTCCTGCAGCAGAGAGAAAACCTCCTGAGCAAACCCTCCCCTGCTGGAATGAGCAATTTTTGTCACTACCAAGGCTCAGGAAAAGGTCCAGCCAGGTCTGTTTAAAGCCCAGCACAGACTGATGCCAAAAACGTAGGAACATGTTGCAGGATTATACTTTTAAATTTGCTTTAAAATCAATTACTTTCAAAGTTCATAATTAGATTATATTTTAAATTTTATTACTTACATGGAATAAATGGATTACTTTAAAAATCTGATCACTTCAAAGTGGATTACTTTTCCAAAATGTAATCACATTTGAAATCTGAATGCCCTTAAAAAGAGCCAGTTGCTGAAATTGTGACCAGATTACATTCTTCAACTTTTTTTTTTGATTGCACTTAAAGATCTAATTGAATTTTTTGTTATTCTGTCCAAAAATGGCATTACATTTAAAATTTCCAACATGTTTTCCCCTCTGTTCTGACTGAATGAAGGAAAAATTAATCTCAGAACAAAGCTGTAACACAGGAGAAGGGAAGTTTAGAGCCCTGCAGCAGCCAGGTTTGAGCAGAACCTTATTTTGTTCACTTTTCTTCTGGTAGAATCACATTAAACATACTGCTTGCTCTCATGGGGGATTTAATTTTCTACATTGAGTAGAAGCCTGTGAGACTGTGTTTGAAGATAACTTTATTTTGGATTTTAAGGACTGTAAAGGAACCCACTAACAAATTAGCAGCTGCTGAGCTCTGTTGCTCTGCCACAGCTGATAGAAGCTCAGACACTGATGGTGACTTCTGGTCTGAATCTTAAATCTAACACTTCAGTGTGATGGCCAAACTTGGAAAATTACCCCTTCTCTTACTGATCTTTTCAATAACAAACCCTTTTCAAACAGATAAGCTTACATACATTACATTTATAAATTGTGTTCATTTTTCATTCTTACAGGATGACTATTTAGACCCAGATCAAGTATTAGCAGAAAAGTTGGTTTTATATCAACAATCTGCAATCCTTTTGAATAACTAAACCCAAACTCATCTAAAGGCTGCTCTGTTTTTCATTAAAGCTTAATTCCAACTTTTGGTCTTGTGGGAAAGGAGATGAAGTTGTAGATCACTTATAAAATGCTCCTGCTCAATGGACTGGCTAAAATAACTTACTCAAAGTCACAAAAATCACAGTCCAGAAAATCTGCAGGACCAAGTTCCAAACCCATTCTGGAAATGTATTAAGCATTTCAAGACATAACTAAATATTAACTTTCTTACTAATGCAAGCAGAGCAATTTTATGTGCCAAATGCATACACAAAACATATATTTATACACACCATATATATGCATATGCACAGCATTAAGCACATACTGTGAATTTCCACAACTTACTAATTTCTCATTATGCATGACAGCATCGCCTAGTAAAGGATTATTTTTCACATACTGAACATAATCTCAATTCTCATTTCATTAATCTCAGAGGGGTTTTTAAAGCAAAACATGGGATCTTATGTTCATATCTATTTCAGAGTACATCCAAACCTTGCATTGAGAATTCCACTCCTGGCTAGCACTTGGAGGAGACAAGATGCTTTCAAAAAAAGGGACATCTACACATAGTTCCCATCCTATCACCAAAAATGTGGATTTTGAGCCTATCCAATAAAACTGATAATCCCCCATCTGTAACAATTCATTTTTAGGACTTTTACTGCCACTATCCAGTGGCACCAGAAAAATGTTCTTTTGCAACCGCTTCATAATGTTGCATATTTGGAACCCACATAGTGACCACACCAGTCACCATGTCCTTTCCATAAGCTTTGGCTGTCAGGGTAAACTCTCTGGAAACAGTGAATCAAAATATATTTGACATAAAATACCTTTTCAAATGTGGGCATTATCTTTTTTACTGTCTCTCAAGAATAACATCAAATAGAAGCTGGGCTTTAAGAGGGATGGTGAGTGGGTCTCAAAGGGAAAGGCTATTGAAAATTTTATTTTTCACCCAGAATAATACAATTCAGTCAGCTACTGACACTGGAAACTCTGCAAGCAGGCACAAATATCACATCTTGATGTTACCTGTAGTTTTTGATGCTCAGGCACTTAAAAAAAAGAGATCAGAATGATGGCAGTTAAGTAGTGAAATGCATATAGTGCTAATGGAATTAAAGTTTTGTTTCATTCCAGACAACGCTATAGCCGTCCCCACTCTTTGTCTCTTAATTCATTCCTCTTGATCTTCCCAGTGACTGTCTTTGGCAGCTCTTTGACAAATTCCACCTAAGTAAAATAAAGAGAGAAAGCAATGCAGCATGTTCTACAGAGCTGGTTTTCCAAGACGCTCCAAGCACATGTGGAAAACTTAGAGGACTCCCATCAGTAAGAGCTGCCTGCCTCAAATCCAAGCCAAACCAAAGCATCACATTCTGCCACTTGTGAAACCTTCTCTTTGGCTGCCTAGATAGCCAAACATCAGCACAGCTGCCTCTCAGCTGACCAAACTGAGTACAGTAATTCACAGCAGAAGGGCAAATGCCTGAGTGGTATCAGAGGCCAGAGATAAATGAAAAAAGAAGAAAAAAAGGAATGTTAGAGCCCTGAAGTCTTTAATGGTTTTTAGTTCTGTGGTGTTTAGTTCAAGTTAACTAAAGCACTGCAGTAGCTCTTTTCCTGTGGTGCTGGGATTACTAAGAATCACCAAGTGTATCCTCTTGGGCTTGTATCTATTTAGCACTTGTGATGATCAGTAGGCAAAATCTTATTCAGATTCAGTCATGTGCTACCCTTAAGGCACTGGCAAGTGCTTGTTTAAAAGTTAAACACAGAATGGAGAATTATGATTGTGATTCTGACTTAGCACATAGAGATCTAACTGGGATACAAAAAAACCTAGAAAATTCTGAGAAGCTTGAACAAGTACTTTATGCAAATCCATGAAAAACAATGTAAATTAATATTATTTAGGAAAGGTCTTCTGGAGCCAGTGGTCTAGATGAATCTTTACTGCTGTCTCTTTCAAGTGAATCATGAAAATCTAAATGATAATTCTCTGGAGGTTTGGGGAAAGATGTCCTGTTTTAAAGTTTCTCCTCAGAAATATTTACCTTTCTAGGGTATTTATATGGAGCAGTAGTTTTCTTGACATGGTCTTGCAAGTCACGAATTAAGCTTGTCGGGTCAGTGGATAAAAAGGTTGGGGACAGAACCACAAATGCTTTCACGACCTGTAAGGTAAAATTATCAAAAGTGATCTGACACCATCTGTTTTTAGGGTTGATGTGCATGTTACCAGTGAGCAGTGCTGCTCAGAGTCACAGCAGTCACGAGGAACAGAGAAACCAGCACATGACAAAAAATTATTGTGTCCAGCTTCAGCATGTGTATGTGCAGAAGGGAAAGTTTAAAGGACAGTTTTTGTGCCCTCATTACAAATAAGAACCTTTGCCCTTTCTTCTCAGCAGCAGCCGAGAGGAAGGAGCAATAAAAGGTGTCTCTGTGGAGTTCTTCCTGAAGCTAAGGGACATTTTGTTTCTCTCTGAAGTTCACACTGAGGACAGTAAGCACTGTTATCCTGGCACAGGATTGTGCTTTCACCACATCTGCAGCCCATGTCTAATGCTTGGGCAGTTCCAGTAGAACTTTGCCTACACCAAGAGTCATAAATGACAATTTCAGTGTATAGACAAATGCTTAAGAACAATGGCAAAGTGAACATCATGGTAGTGTCCTTCACAGAGAAGATCTTGAGATGAGAAGAAACTCAGAAGAGCAAAGGCATGTAAGTGGGAAGTGATTTTGCTTTTCAGCAGTCACATTAGGATTATCCATGATGAAAGGTGATCCATGATATGGTGCTTAGGGACATGGTTTATTTGTGGACCTGACAGTGCTGGGTTCACGCTTAGACTCAGTGATCTCAGAGGTGTTTTCCGACCTGAACAATTTCATGATTCTAAGGTGACATTATTGCTTAGAGCTGTACGTTATTCAGTAAAGTAGAAATTCCTTGATATTGTTGTATGTTTGGACAAATGCATTGCTTCCCCTGCCTCTATTCAGCATCATTACCTCTCCTCTCAGGGGGTCTGGGCTGCTGACAACAGCTGTTTCTACCACAGCTGGGTGCTCTATCAGGGCACTCTCTACTTCAAACGGCCCGATGCGATACCTAGATAAGGAAAAATAAAAATGACATTTGGCTCTTATTTTTTATCTGGAAAAAAAGAGTACCAAATGTTTTTTAATTTTCGTGTTGAAATGAAAAAAAAAGCCAGAACAAATTAACAACCACTACAGGAGCTTTAGGCAAAACGGGAAAGCTGACTAAGTTAGAAGTAGGAGCATTTCATAGTGGCCTTGTGGCAGAGGACTGGGGCTGTGGATACTTCTCCATCTGTGCTCTCTCCTTGGGGCTCATAGGCTGGAGCTCCATCCCACCCTGCAGCTGGGTCTGCAGCAGCAGCCTGTGCCACGTTATGGTATCACACCATGCATTATCAAATTCTTGCCTTTCAACATGTTAAAAATAAGTTGTTTCAAAAGCTCTTTGAATCCAATAGAGATGCCTTCCATTTTAGTCCAAAAATAAACTAGATAAACATCCCTCCTTTGCCAGTTGAAGCCTTCATTCTTTGTTAAAACACATGAGATGTTGCAGGGGATGGTACTGCAGGTCTGTGAAAAGCTAATAATAACAGCAAGTATTCCAAAGTCAAGAGGTTAATACATTCCTGTCACAGGATTATGATGTCAGAACCTCACCAGGACACAACATGTAAGAATATACAATGGCAGATATAGAATGGGTATGTGCAGACTAACCCTGAAGAAATGATGATGTCATCATCTCTGCCAATAAACTGGAAATATCCTTCTTCATCCATAGTCGCTTTGTCTCCAGTGACATAAAAATCCCCACGTTCACTTTCTGCAGTTTTCTTAGGGTTATCCTTAGAGTGGTTTACAAGCAGTAGTTTAGATTTTGAGCATGCATTAGCTATACATTATGGTATAACACACGTAACATCAAATGCACTGAAACTTAATTTTTCAGTCAAGGATGTACTGATATTGCTATAAAATACAATAGAATAGGTCTAAAATAATTTCTATTCTTTAAGAAAAAATTTAACTTGATCCTAAATTATTTTCTTTCCTTTTCTAATGCCCACCAATCAAAATACACAAATTACTCTGTAATAAATAAATGATGAAAAATGTCCAGCCTTTAGGACCACTATGCAATTGGAGAGCTTTTGAGGAGATTGGTAGTGGTGGTGAGGAATAAAATAAAGTTCTTACTAAATATTCAGAGAAAAAACCAAGTGGCCTTATAGGTTTGCTTCTGACAGCAATTTCCCCCTGTTGTCCTGGAGGCAGGATATTGGCATTTTTGTCTACAATCTAGAATGAAAAAAACCAATTTCTTATTTTAGTCCAATGGAAAAACAAACTCCAAACACAAATCCAACCAACCAAAAAATCCCCCATGACAGAATCTAAAGAGCAGTCAACAAACCTGAACATCATAAAGGGGAGCTGCTTTCCCCATTGATCCAGGTTTAATCTTCATTCCTTTAAAAACAGAGCAGATTATTCCCTGTAAAAACCAAAATCAAACCAAAGTTTTGCAATTGAAAATTGCGACATTCACACTCAATTCATTAAATGTAATTTCTAGACTAATTCCAAAGTAAGGAATTAAGATTCATAGTATCCTATATGGCAGTGCTGTATGGTACAGATAAGCAAAATCATAAAACTCCCTGAAAGAATCCTGTTTCATTCTCTGTGAAAAACTCTTGTCCTCAACAATTGAACCAGTTTTCTTCCCTTAGATTCAAACTCTGCCCTCTTGACTGTCACTGTTACTTGGAATTAGCTTAAGGACATTAGTGGAAATATTACAGTACATTCCCCCCCCAAATCCCATGTTTCTGGCAGGTTCTGTGAAGAGAGCCATGAGAGGGAGTTCTTTCAGAGATTACTAGGGAAGGGAATTACTGAATCATTCACAGAAATGTGAAGGAGGAAACAGACTGTGTTCTTACAAAATAAACATTACAGCAAAAAGAAATTCCAAAGATTTAATATTTAATACATCCCTACAGATGTACCACTTCAGTCTGGCCATATACTTCATGGATGTCCAGCCCAGTCTGGCTCTTCCACTTCTCCATGACTTCTGGGTTGAGCGGTTCCCCTCCACTCATGCAGTATTTCAGGTTCATGAATTTGTATCTTCACAGGGAGTTAAAAACAAGGAAGGCAATACTTAAATGTAGAGGGTGAGACCAGGAGCACACAAGGGTAAACACCATGGGAGAGCTGTTTACTGGGAGAGTTAGTGCCACAAAGTGGGGAAATCAGATACTTCTGCTCCTGATACAAGGATATCACTCTGCTCAACACTACATAAGTAGCAGTCAGAGTTAAACATGTGAAAAATAAATTTTTTGCTGAAGTCAGCTGGGATTATAAATAACCAAATACTGATCTGCTGAGCCAGGGTCCTGATTGCTGACCCTCTGCAACAGTGAGAAAGTTCAATAGGGAAGGAAGGAACAATGACAGGCAACTGCCACAACAAATAATTCCCTCACAGTTATGCTGACATGCACTTTCTATGATGAAGTCCTTCCCAAAGTGTGGACAATTAATATGGTAAACAAAAATTATGACAAAGTATTTAACGGACTCTCAGTTTCATACTCACAAGTACAGTAGCATAAATCTCAAATTTCTGAGGGAAAACGTCAAGTATTTCTGATTAAAAAACTCAGCAAAATTCAAACTTTGCATGAGGGTCTTCTTGTGAAGGATATTTTAAACTAAATTATTACTATTTTGGGTCAAACAGTTAGATATAGCAGATGACTAAGTTTAGTTAGGGTAAATCAAACATTAGTAAATAATTTTTTGACGTACTTGGAGAGATCATTTTGCACCAGCATGCGGAACAATGTTGGAGCACCGACCAGGGCGTCAACTGGGAATCTGCAGAGAGTCTAGAGGGTTAAGCAACAAGAAGGACATGTGAAACTCAGACAAAAAAACAGCCTTGGGTATGTACAGTAAACAGGTGACAGAGAAAAGAGAAGTACATTTGCCCCCTTTCTAAAAGCAGCACACCCTCTGTTGGGTGAGGAACTCTCCTGCAGTTGGTGCAATATGCAGAGATTGTATATTTGATTACAAAAATCCCATGCTAACACATCTACCTGATACCAGGACCCCACAGCTTGGAGCATGGACAGAATAGTTCCTCCTCTGTCTACATCACAGGGAGGTGTTCACTTTAATCTTGGCCAGTGTGGGCAGAGAAACACTTCATTTCTGCATTAATACCCACTGATATTATTTCCACAGTCACTAGAATGGATGGTAGGCATTTAATGCTGTTTTTGGATGATTTCCTTCATGTGCTCACCAGCTATGTGCAAAATGTATGAATGGATTGCATGTTTGCCCCCTTCTGTACACGTTAAAAATGAAAGTGGCTTTACACAACAAATACAATATCTCAAACACTACTATAAACACAACCCTCATGAAATCTGTGGATGCTGTGAAGAATTGGTTTTGGTATGCGTTTTGCAGAGGAACACATTTCCATGAGTTTTCCCCTTACATTTAGGATGACTGCTGAGTCAGTCTGTGGTAGGTTATGTATAAAGATGCATGATCCGAAAACCCAGGGATCAAAAAAAGATGCTATTGAAGTTAGTATCCATCCTGTGTCTGCTGTGTTCCATATCATGCCAGAGGGAGTCAAATCCAACCAGTACCTGATAGAACAGAAAAAAAAAAAAAAAAAAAAAAAAAGACAATGAAAAATACCCAGAAAGAGGGTAAGAGTTATTAACTGCAAGATTGAGACACCAGGGCAATCCTAGTCCTTAGCAATTTTATGGGGTTTTTTACTCTGATTTTAAAGGGAGAATGGCTGGGATGTACACGGGTATTTCTTCTTCAGGAATTTTTTTACAATAGCTCTACTATGCAGCTTCAATTATCTTATGTTCAACCAGGCTTAACTCTTTCATACCTTTCACTTAAAAGGGGTCTGAAACCAAGACTGCCCTGGGAATGTTGAGTCATCTTTGGAGAACCTGTAGTTCCACTGGTAAAGAAGATAATCATTGGGTCTTGAATCCTTGTTTTGATACAGGAATGGTCAGCAGATTGCTTTCTGTAAAAAGGAGAATGTAATTATAACTTCAGTGTTTGTAGTTGATGTAAATGAGCGCTTGTGGGAACAGGTCTGCTTTGATCCCATGTCTGCAGTGGCATTAAGTCATACGCACTGGTACAGCTCCGTGAAGTTCAGCCACCCCTCCCTGCTGCCTTTGGACACGATTAGCTTGGTTTTCAGGAACTGGCACTGGGACACCACCGAGTCCACTGCAGGTGCCAGTTTGTCAGTGGTAATGATGCACGTGGCCTTCGATGCCTGGAGTCGGTACAGTATGTCTTTGGCTGATAATTGGGATGTTCCAGGGATTATGACAATTCCTGGAAGAGAGATAAAGTTAGTTTGTGTTGGTTTTTTTCCTACATCTGATTATTTTTTAAGAACCTAAGCTATTAACTATTCCCAAACTGATCTCCGATATGGATTTGCCCTGGTGTTCCCCAGCCAAACAGTTAGATTAGATTAATGCAGATGCCTCTGCTCTCCTGTCAGGAATGAAATGTGGACCTGTCTGGTGACTTCCATGGCTCTTCCCTGCCTTTTGGCATATTCTTGCCCACTGCCTGAGCTACCTCTCCTATGGCCCCTTGTGAAAACCCTTCAGGACTGCCTGGGAGCTGGTCCACTCATTGGATTATTACACTATTTTTCCTTGATAAATCATATCCATTCTTGATCCTCTTAACCAATTTGCAATGACCATTTTACATCACTGACCTGCTCGCATACAAGCCACCTTGACCAACCACCATTCTGGAATTCGTGGTAGGATGAGGATCAGCCTGTCTCCCTTCTGCAGTCCGCATTCTTTGGTCAGCACATTGGCCACTTTCCGAGACAGGAACCCCAGCTCCTCAAAGCTCCACTTCACTTCTTCTCCTTTGCCATTTATCCACCAGAAAGCAGGGTTTGATGGTCTCTTTCCAGCCTACAAAACATATGAATTCAAACATAAAAGATTTTCTTCTGAAAGACCATGAAATAGTAATGCACAGACATCTGTGATTAATGGAAGATCTGAGTATTTGACAGCTGGCTATACATAAGCTATTTTTTTTCTTGTCCTTAAAGGACTGAGATTTACTATTCATCAAGCTCAGGTATTCCTAATAGATTCTCCTTTTTTGAACTTGAAATGTTCACCAGCCTAATTGTCTCCAGACACAAGTCCTAATCTGGATCCTATTTCAGTTCAAGTCTTATACTGTGCATTAATGCTCCTACAAAATAACAATAAATAAAGCAAGGAACAATGAACTTTGGTATAATTTCCTAATACAAATTTTGTTTGGCAACTGATTGTTTTTATAAAGAAAAAAATCCCAGTTTATTCCAAATGAAATCTAAAATTAAAGTGTTTCATTGGCACAACAGAAGATCCCCTACCTTTTCAATCTCAGACCATTTATCCAGTACATCACTTGCAAAGTTAAAGTACTTTGGTATCTCCTGTTTGCCTTGTCTGATGGACTCATATTGGGAATATACATCAGAGGAAAGCAGCCTGGGATGTCCATGGAAAGTCCTATTAGGAAGCTTCAGAGTCCACAAGAGTTTTAGCCTCTGTAATTTGAACAGCAACTTCATGGCAGAAGATTGTGTCTAGATGCTGTAGACCATATAAGAAAATTGTAGAATTGTTGCTATGAATCCTGCAACAACAAACAAAAACCAAAGCAACAAAAAAAGAAATATAATATTGAGATTATCCAAAGATAATCCAATTATGAATTAACGAGTTCTTCATTTAAGTCACTTAGGCTACTCAGAGTGAAACTGATGACTTTAACATGCTAATTCAATGTTAATTTCCCTATCCTGCTTTCTCATATTTTTAATTTTTAAATTAATTGCCCACAACTCTCCATAGTAAAACACAACATTAGATATTATTGTGTATATCAGAAGACTGTTTCTGCTTCATACATTCAGTACCTGATTCTCTATTCCTTTCTCTTTTCTGTGTGTTTCCAAACTACTTCCATCAAGAATCTCACTGCTTTAGCCTCAGCAGTTTCTGATTGATTCATCCATTCACCACATCAATCCCAAGAACCTTCACTTTGTAATGTAGCCCCTAAGTTTGACAGAGACTTTTCTACTCATTTTCCTGACCTGTCTGCTGTGGACAGGAGAGATCAGAAGTTGTTAGGAGAGAACCTCTTCATTCATTTCACTCACCTGTTAGGACATGTTTCCCATATGAGGCACTGTAAAGATCAGCTGCTCCCTGGAGATGTGAAGCCTGAGCACTCCTTCTCAAAGGTTTTGGAGTGAAACCTGTCTGACTTTCTTACTCACTTCTTCTGGAGTAACGAGAACAGAACGTGGCACAAAACAGACCAAGCAGCAAAGCTCTTTCTGTGGAGTAACTTTTTTCTTGTAATCATTTACACTACTGTTAATTATGCATAATTTGCACCTTAACCTAGAGCATTTTGGGTTTTCTTTTACCTCAACTTTAACCATTTAAGTAGATGACAAATTCGTCATGATGAAGAGAAACATTAAAAAGAAACGATTTTTTCTTTCCACTCTGAAAGAATTTGAAAATGTTACAGTGATACTTATTGACAAGAATATATCAATGTGCTGCTGATACCCACCACAGGACAAAGATTATTTTTATTAATTTCTCTTTTATTTATTTATATGTATCTAAGAGTTGTAGTTACACTTTGGTTTTGGTTTTGGGTTTTTTTTTTCATTTTTGCTCTTGTCGTACTCTTGCCCACTCTTTGCTCCTTAGAACATTTCTCTGAGTTTTCCCAGTAATTGTCTTTGGCAGATCCTGAACAAACTCCACCTGAAAGGCAAAAATATGTCCTGGTTAAGTTCCCAGCTGAAGGAAAGACATTCATTATGCCTGGGGATAAAAGGATGGGAAGCTGCACAGCCAGTGCTGAGATGATTATATGCTGACTGAATGCCTTGCCCATTTGAGCTACTGTGAAAACTCCAGGATTCCAGGATGAAAGAAAGACTGGCCCCCCATGAAGTAAAATTTCATGACCATTGCCTCCCTCTGGTCCTTCATAGCACACACTGCCAACCAAGGCTACAGCTGCAACAAACCCTGTCATCTGCTTTTACTTCATTCAACTCTGGTTGGAGTGTTTGTCAGAATGCTGTTGAAAAACAGCTGAGGCAGGACAAAAAAATGCTCAGTTTCTGGTACAATGAGAGAACCTGTCCTTTTTTGTCTTTTTTGGGCTGTACTTACCTTCCTTGGATACTTGTAAGGAGCAGTCACCTTCTTGACATGTTGTTGAAGCTCATGAATTAATTTTTCTGGATCATGTGATTTAAAAGCAGGAGCTAAAACAATGAAGGCTTTGACCACCTGTGCCACAAAAAGTAAGGGATTCTGTTAACTTCCAGAGGTGGCAATAAGGGGATACATCTGTTGCCAAAAGCAAATGTCAAATTTCAGAATGCCAAAATGTGGCATTCTGGCATTAATTTCCCTTTTCATTAGCCATTTATAACAAAATTCTGTGCTATGAAGGACCCATTTCAGAGCAGAGGATTTTTTCTGTATTTCCAGCTTTTTTCCCCCTTAACGTTATATGGTATTAAAGCTGAAAATCTCACCCCATTTGCTCAAAGAAGTGTTGCAAAGTTGGAAAATATAAAACAAAAATTAAACAGTCTGGATGTCATTGCTACAGTGTACTAAGTGACAAAACAATAAATAAACAAATTTTCTTTGCTTAGATAAAAACATGCCATTATTAGTCTGAAAAGCCAAACTATTTTTCCACATCAAAACCTTTGCAAGGAAAGAAATAATTCTGATATTCTAAGACTTATTAATAAATGGATTTAGAAAAATTTAGCCCCTTTAGTTTCAAAACTCTGCAACATATTGAATTCCAAAGAACCCTAGTACATATAGGGATATTGATGTTTAGAATAAAAGGCATTTCTTTCTATATTTCTTTTCTATTTTGTTTTACCTCCCCCCTCTCTGGGTCAGGACTGCTGACAACAGCCACGTCTGAGACTGCTGGGTGCTCTATCAATGCACTCTCCACTTCAAATGGGCCAATGCGATACCTAGGGGAGCACAGAAACAGCTCAGCCCCAGCAGCATGGGCCAGTCCATTGGTCTTTCCAGGCTGCATTTTGTGGGGCAAAAACGAAATGCCTTACCCAGCAGAATTAATGATATCATCAGCTCTTCCAACAAACCAGACATATCCCTCTTCATCCATAACGCCTCTGTCCCCAGTGAGGTAAAAATCTCCACGCACAGAGGCAGCAGTTTTCTCTGGATTATCCTGGCAACAATCAAACATTTCCAAAAAGTATCTTGCTGTTACTGAATTGTAATGCATTTACTTTGCAGTGATGCTAAAAATGATAAAAATACTTTTCAAGTTGTTCTCAAAATGAGTGTGCCCAATACTGTTTTATATTTTCAACCAAAAAACCCTGAGCCATGTTAATTAGAAGTTTGATGCCTGAAGTATGTGACAGGTGGAAAAGAGCTCTACACTAAAGAGTGTATGTAGAGATTTGCTCTATAGAGAAAAGGCTGTGCTCTATTGAAATGCCCATCTATCACAGCAAATGTGTAACCCACAAAAACGTAACCCATTCTATCCAGGGAATTGATTTATCATTGCAGGGGGTTGCCACAATAACCTCCCATCAAAATAAACTTTTTACCCTTAACCTTCATTATTTGCATTGACCTGTAGGACTTCTACATCCAGTGAAACCTCTTGGTTACACAGGAAAACACTTTGTCAACAGAAAACATAGTGAGAACCAGAAGTTATAGAATTGAACTTAAAGAAGTTTCTTATCCCACAGTGAGCAATATATTTTACAGGTTGTTGTTTGAGGATGATAAAAATATGCAAAAATTATGGGGGTTCAGAAGAGGATTAAAAACACAGATAGGTCCCCCAAAGCTTATTCATTATGATAGTTCAATTGCAGGGGACAAAAATTTTAAGTTTGCCTGATTCTACCGTTTTCTTAAAAATGACCTGCACCTCAGCACCGCCACCACTGTCAGGTTCAAAGTTCTCAAGTAACCCAGTGAGAACTTCTGAGGATTCTGCATGGAATTCTGCTCCTGGCAGAACTTTGCCCTGGGCTTCTCCTGAGGCTCTCAGCAGACACAGACACAGCCAGTCAGGCTCACCAAGTACTCAGAGAACAGACAGAAGGGTCGTGTGGGTTTCACTCGGATACCAATGGTGCCCTCTTCTCCTGCAGGCACAACAGCCCCATGGTCATCTACGATCTGCAGAAAGGACACACAGCAGGAGTGCTTTGATCAGCTCAGAGGAACATCTGCTCCAGCTCAGTGCAGGGCACAGAAGGGACACAGCCAGCACTGCCTTACTGTTCTACCCACAACTGCCACACGTCCACGTACCTGCACATCATAAGGGGGAAGAGCTTTTCCCAAAGAGCCAGGTTTAATTTTCATTCCTTTCATATTGGCACAGATTCCCACCTGCAGAATAGATTTTTAAAAATTCTTGCAACATCTTGTAAATCTTATTATTGTTTGTGTTAGACAGGGCTCCTCTTTGTGACTTTATTGTGACAAGGGCTGAATCAGGACCACAGCTCTGTGGTTCTTGAGAACATCAGAGAGGCATTGAGAGGCATTTCAGGTCAGACCTGAGTGAGCTTGATTTTGTTGAGTCTGAGCCAGTGGGTTGTCCTGCAAACACTTGACTTCGCAGGACAGCAGATGTGAAATTATTACAGATCTTGTTTCAATAATGGGACAATTAATTTGGGACCATTTCAAGGGCAAAATAAGAGAAGGCCTGAGATCTGAATCTTAATAGCTTTGTTAATGTTCACTTACAGAGAAGTCTGGGAAATGAGCTGGTTTAGCATTTGCCATTAAAACCTCAGACAGGCAAAATTGATAGATGGAGCACATTATTTTTCAGGTTTTTTTATTAAGTAAAGATGACAAAGGGATCTCCTGCAACTTATTTGATCTGAAGTGTCACTGGCATGTTTATTGCAAGGATCCAAACCATTAAAATATGCAGCTTGCTGATTCTAGAACTATATAATCACAATTATACAAAGCTGGTTGGTTTTTTTTTTCAATCATGTAAGTGCTTCTTACCTTTTTCGTTGATTTATCAAGGACATCATGGCTCTGGTAGTGTTACCTTTGAATGGGTATACTGCAAGAATTAATGCAAACGTACTGTTTCACTCTGGCCATAACCTTCATGGATATCCAGCCCTGTCTGGATTTTCCACTTTGCATACACTTCAGGATTGAGTGCTTCCCCTCCAGTTACACAGTGTTTCAGACTCGGGAACTTGTAGCTTGAGAGGAAGAGCAAATGAAATGATTCTCTTAACTCCTAAGAGCAGTGGGCAACCTTAACTGATAAGACTTCCTTGACTTTCCAAGGTCACCTAAAACTGAAGGAAAGACTGAATAGGAAGACAGAGCCTGAGCTCTCTCCCTGGCTTGGCTTTTGTCAGGATGAAAGACCTATGTGACAAGAATAAGTACCTTACCAAAGACGTGAAAACTCCTTACAAACCCATTCTCACAATCTGGGTATTTTACAGAATAACAAACTGGTGGGAACAGCTGCCAA